TCCGATCAGTTCATGTCAGAATAGTTCCGGTTATTCCGGTTAAGTCCAGATATTAAGTCACGTTCAGTAGAGCATCTTAACATAATTAATCAGTTAACTTAACAGTCTGAGCATAGTCATTAGTAATTGTTTATATTATATTTCAGTTTGATCAGGTCACGAGTATCAGCACTACCTTTACTTCCACGGATCAGGTGGGGACTCAGACTAAGTACTACATTGATTATAATTACGGTACCATGTTTGAGGTATGTATTTCATGTCATGTATCCGCTCGGAATGGTCGCCGGTCCATTCTGGGTTCTAGTGGCCCTAGTCTGCCCACTAGAGTGTGCACATGGTGTCCGACATTATTATGCTGGCAGATGAGGTAACGGTCATGGTTCACGTTCACGTGATGATATCAGATTCATGTTCATGTGATTACCGGTTTAATGTTCAGGTTATGTATATGCCAAGATCATGATGTTGTTATTATTTTCAATGTTTACATTAGTATGAGTTTCCACGGAGCACAGTGTTATAGTGCTCACGACCCACTGTTATCATGTTTTTCAGGTCAGGATGTCGAGCAGGGAGCGTGAGATGACGGATGCTTCAGGACTTTTATGTTATGACTGTATATATTTTGACGATATTACGTTTCCGCTGATTTTGATGTTTGATAAAAACATCTTTTGATCAAACTTTCAGATAATTTTATGCTTTCAGTAAACCGTATGATTTTGTTACAAATCAAAATAACGTTTTTCAAAATAAGTCACGTTTTACGGTAGCACCCCGAATCAGTTTTCGCAAAGTAAAATATTTTATTTTTAAATAACTTTGTGAAATTTTCGCACTCTGATTTCACGATAAGGCAGAGTGTTACACTATATGCAGGATGTGTGGAGAAGAAGAGGAGTCTATTGTTCATGTGTTGTTTCATTGCAGGTATGCTACTTCAGTTTGGAAGGTGGCTCATGTTAGCTGGATTGGTCCTCAAGGTAATGAATCCTTCAAATCTTGGTGGTGGCAGATATGTCAGATGGACAGAGGAGAGGTTTCTGAAGCCCGAATTCAGTTATCTACATTTATAATATGGTGGTTGTGGAAATCTCGCAATCTTTGGGTATGGTGGTTGTGGAAATCTCGCAATCTTTGGGTATTTGAGCAAATCAAGTGGTCTGCCCCAATTGTCATTAGAGCAGCAACCTTGGACTGAGAGGCATTTCTGCAGGGCAATAGGTGTTGGGTCTATTTTATGGTTCTGATGTTTTTCTTATGTTTTCCTCTGATTTTTTGTGTTTAGTTCTGGTTAGTTGAGTTGGTTAGTTTTCTTTTTGTATTCGTCTGCTTTTCATAATGTAGGTTGTTGTGTGGTTGTGATAGTGGCTTAGGGGCAAAGGTTCAAGTGAGGAAAACTGCTTTACCCATCTTTGGCTCTAATGTTGGGTTTGATGGCTTGCGTGTTTTAGCTCACCTCGGATGATGCTCTCAGCTTCGGCTTCCCTTATGTATTGAACATTATTGTCGATTAATGAAGAGTTTATTCTGTCGTTTGGGAAAAAAAATGTATTTAAGTGCAACTTTCCCTTATATATGGTATGTATATAAATAGAAATAACAAACAAGAGTGCACAATGAATTAATTAATGAAGTACATAGTATGGCACTAAACATTAATTAACTTGGTCGTATTAATAGCTAGCATGTTATTGATTGTATGCAAGAACAAATATATTATGTAATTGGTCAGTTAGAGACGTCTGCACAAAGTGAGCCCATCGCCAATGGAAAGATGAGCTAATTCGATGCGAGGGTCGTTTGCAAGGAAGGAGTTGAGTTTGATGATATGACGTCTGCAGGCTTTCAAATAACCCTCTGTCATTTCCTTCTCATCTTTTTCGGATGCTGCCACTGTGCCGGACCACAGTGTGTTGTCGTAGGCTATTATTCCTCCCACTTTCACTAGCTTCAGCAGCTGCTCGTGGTAGTTTATGTAATTTTCCTTATCAGCATCCACAAATGCAAAATCAAAACTACCTTCTTCTCCCTGAAATTAAATTTTAATGTTACTATAATCTTAAAGACAACAAGTAGACTCACTCATTTTCTAAAACTAGTAAAGTGCACGTGCGATGCACGTAGTGTCGAATGATATTCGCGGAGTAAGTTTGCAAAATAAATTAATTTATTAAACATATCATTGCAGAAATGAAGTAAAATATAGAAAAAATGAATTCATGTGTAATTTTTTTATTTAGAATTAACGTAATGATGTCCTCATATAAAAAGAGTGGAATAACGTTTTACAACCCCCAAAAAAAATATATATAAAAAACAAATCCCTAATAAAAAAACACAAAGATTTTCTTTCATTTTGGTTGTGACGTTCTCATAAGAACATTCATAGTCGTTGGAGTCCAATACATCAATAATATTGCAAAATTTCTCTTAATTAATTTGGCAAAACGCCAATTTTATTCAAACACTTAAGAAACATTCTGACCCAACATATAGTCAAATTTCATGATCGCATGATCTTTATAACAAGGTACTTCTACTAACAAAGGATAAATATCTCTATGAAATAACTAACGGTGTCACTAAAATTGCTGATATTTTTTTATCACTGTATAAACTATCAATTCCTCTTAATTAATTTTACATTCCTCTGTCTCTAGATATATTGGTGTCTTCCCTATTGATGCATCACCCCACGAGATGGGAATGAATTTTATCTCCAAATAAAAGTTGACTTTCCAAAATCTGGGTTACATGTACTTCTCCCAAGGTGCTAAATTATTTTTTGAAATCACCATACATTACCTGAAAGTACCTCTAAAGTAATTGCACATATGTTCAAGCGCAATACACCAATGAGATTATAAATATTTCTATAAGAAATGACAACTTCATTCTAACATTCAAAACTGTTTTGATACTCATACATTTCATTTTCAGTGTTATTTATTTAGAATATAGACGAACAATATAATCTATTTTTTGCAATGATAAAACAAAACAAACAAAACAATGAGAAAATATTGAGAAACATATCATTTGTTAAAATATTTGACAGCAGAAGAATTAGAATTCCATTATAGGACAATACTTTTAGTCATCTGTAAAGTTTATTATTATGGAGCAATGATTAAAATATACATCATGTATATAAATTTTTGGATTTTTTAATTATTCAAAATTATATGATCATTATTTATGAGAACAATTTCTTACAGAGTCCATATATTTAAACGCTAGCAACAAAAAAATAGTAATTTTAAAAGACTTTTTGTTTGTAAATATTGGTATTCATACTTTTCTAAGAAAATTAGCACGTTTTCTTTTTCTCATTGCATTACTATTATATTATTTGTTTCTTATTCTATAGACAAATAATATTTTATTTGCTAAGTAATTAAAGTACATTTATACGTATTACGGTATTTTTCATATGTGTTTTATATAATGATGTTATCAAATTATCTTATTTATTAAGCTACAATTAATATAATCACATAAGATTAAATGTGATGTAACATATTTGATAAAGTTGTACTTTTTATACGAATTAATAGATTAAAAAGTTTAGAATTTTTTCCAATGTTTGATAAAATATTAATTAACTAAGTCATTTTCATAATCACTGAATACATATATGGTACCACCATTATAGGGTTCATTTTCCAGCAGTAATTGACTTCACATAGCTAATGTTATCTCATTTCTTTTCTCTGACCTAGTCTTTCTTTTTATCTATGACTTTACGTTGCTTCGCTTCATTTGTACCCTAAGGTGCATTTGCCATAGTTTCAGCATTACGACAAACCCGTGTAAAAAATATATCAGATTTGGGCGCTCTAGCCAAAACGTGGGAACAGTTAGAAGTTTACACCCATTTTTTTACTTTTTTTTTTAAATATTAATTGTTTCAAATTTATGTATGAAAACATACCACAATTATGTTATTTTATACTTTATAAAATTGATTTAACTTGAATATAAAATTTATTACATTATATACTTTAACACCAATTTATTATTTTAAGTTAATACTGATATATATATATATATATATATATATATTATTTTATATTAATATAAATAATTATATTATATGTTTTTATGTTATTGCAATATATGGGTCAACTCATCATTGAAAATAAATGATATGATATATTACGTATAAAAAGGTAACAAATAAAAAATATGAAGTATTTTAAAATTAAAAAAATTAATGATAGAAAGTAATAAAAATCTTAACTAAAAAATTTTAAGATTAACATACC